GGGTCATTGGGGTGGGAGTTGGGGTCATTGGGGTTGGGTTTGGGGTCATTGGGGTCATTGGGGTTGGGTTTGGGGTCTTTGAGGTTGAAGAATTTGAGGTTGAAGGTCTTGGGGTCAACTTTGAGGTCAATGGGGTCAATGAGGTCAACCTTGGGGTCAATGGGGTCAACCTTGGGGTCAATGAGGTCAATGGGGTCAACCTTGGGGTCAACGGGGTCAACCTTGGGGTCAAGAGGGTTGAAGGTCTTGGGGTCAACAGGGTCAACCTTGGGGTCAATGGGGTCAACCTTGGGGTCAAGGTCAACCTTGGGGTCAATGGGGTCAACCTTGGGGTCAACCTTGGGGTCAACCCTGGGGTCACCGATGCCACCGACGTCACCGGTGTCACCCTTCCCACCCAACTCGGCCACGAACACCACGGAGCAATGACCGCAGGCCACCAACCAGATGACGGCGCTGACCGCCAGGACCCGGCCGGGTCTCCTGCGATCCCGGAACCTGAGGGGGAAAACCACGCCCAGGTATCTCCTGACGCTCAGGGCCGCCAGGAAAAGCCCGCTGAGATACATGCTGGAGTAGAAACAGAAATTCACCAGCGGACACCAAAGGTCCGGCAGCGGCCAGACCATTCCAGCCGCCGCCTCGGCCATCTTGAGAGGGAGGAAGAGCAGCAGGAGGAGGTCGGAGAAGGTCAGGTTGAGGAGCAGGAGGTCGCAGGAGGTCAAGGACGGGTTGGAGCGGCCGCATTTGGTGGCCAGGACGGTCAAGGTGAAGATGTTGGCCGGGAAGCCGATGGTGAAGGTGAGGATGTAGACGGTGAGGACCAGGGTGGAGGACATGGTGGGGGTGGTTCGGGAGGTCCTCGGGTGGGTCGGGAGGTCCTCGGGTGGCCCTCAGGTGGTCACCAGGTGGTTCAGGTGGTCCAGGAGGTTCTCAGGTGGTCCTCAGGTGGTCACCAGGTGGTTCTGGAGGTCCTCAGGTGGTTCGGGAGGTTCTCAGGTGGTCCAGAAGGTTCTCAGGTGGTCCTCAGGTGGTCACCAGGTGGTCCAGGAGGTTCTCAGATGGTTCTCAGGCGGTTCAGGTGGTCCAGGAGGTCCACAGGTGGCCCTCAGGAGGTTCTCAGGTGGTCCAGGAGGTTCTCAGGTGGTCCAGGTGGTCCAGGAGGTTCTCAGGTGGTTCTCAGGTGGTTCTCAGGAGGTTCTCAGGTGGTCCTCAGGTGGTTCAGGAGGTCCTCAGGAGGTCCAGGAGGTTCTCAGGTGGTTCTCAGGTGGTCTGGGAGGTTCTCAGGTGGTCCAGAAGGTTCTCAGGTGGTCCTCAGGTGGTCCAGGAGGTTCTCAGGTGGTCCAGAAGGTTCTCAGGTGGTCCAGGAGGTTCTCAGGAGGTTCTCAGGTGGTTCTCAGGTGGTTCTCAGGTGGTCTGGGAGGTTCTCAGGTGG